ACAACGGTTTCTCCTATTACGGTCCAAGCTACAGGTCGCTCCCCGGCCTTAGCTTGCGGGGGAATATTAGACAATTAAGTGTGATATATATATATATAATTATATTAGAGGGTCTAGAGTGTAAATGTATCTCTTATATATATCCCTGATTGTAATCGATATATACATACATAATTACCAAGTTTATCTAACATCCAGAGTAGAATAAAGCAATTCATGATGAGATGGAAGCATTGAGAAATGTAGAACATGACCAATTGACTAAGTGGATATATACAGTCAAGCATAATGCGGATGATATTGTAGAAAGGTATGGAACTCGATTAGTTACCCGAGATTTTACTCGGTCATATGGAATGAAAATATCAAGAAACATTCACATAAGTTGCAAAACTCAACACAGTTAGGATGCTTAGCTCATTGGTTATGAATCCTATCAAAGACTAGTGTCTTCAACAACCAGATATAAACAATGCGTTCTTGAACGGTGACTTAGAAGAAGTATATATGAATATTCCATGTGGGTTTGAGGATAATCAAACAATCAATCAAGTCTACAAACTCCGAAAATCACTCTATGGACTAAAACAATCCTCTAGAGCAGGGTTTGCCAAATTTTAAGGCCCATCATGAAACTTAGTTATACATAGCCAGATAATACAATGTTTCGAATGTCCTAGTCAGGAAAAATTGCCATTATCAAGATATATGTGGAGGACATCATTGTAATGGGAAATGATGAGGATGAGCTACCAAATCGACAGGAGTGCCTATCACAAGAATTTTAAGTGAAAGACGTTCGAAATCTAAAGTATTTTCTTGGCATGGAGGTGACTTGGTACTCCGAACATGAATGCATGGGTGCCAACCAGCTGGGTACTCCAAATATCCTCACAAGAAGTTAGACTTGAGAATGGAAAGCGTATAGACAAGGGGAGATATCAATGGTTAGTTGGATGTATCATCTACCTTGCTCACATGAGATCAGGCATTGGATTTACCGTTAGTGTTGCTAGAATTAAAGATCACTCGAAGGCAGTATATTGCATTCTATGGTATTTGAAGATGACACTAGGAAAGGTACTATTTGGCAAATTGGTAAAAAGAAACATAGACATCTTCTCAGATGCAGACGGGGTTAGAGATAGAAACGCTAGTAAACAAATATTGGGTATTGCTCTGTCCTGTGGGGAAACTTGGTCAACTTGGAGGAGTAAGAAACAGTCATTAGTGGCAAGAAGTTGCATTGAGGCTGGGTACACTACATTGACACATGTCATTTGCGAAGGGATATGGATCAAACAAGTTCTTAGTGTGCCCAGTTAACACCTTTCTTATCATGATGATGTGCGACAATGAGGTACATGCTAAAAATCCAGTTTTTCATGATAGATTGGGCTATATACAAATATGCCTCTGGTTTATATGAATAAAATACATAGAAGAATCCATTATGTCTTCAAGAAGTTAAATTTCTTAATTTGCCAAACGGTGAACTCCCGTTTTCTTTATGGTAATGCCCCTTTGCATTTGTTACTCTGTGATGTGTGGGTCTTTATGGGATTACTAGCTTGCAGTGCCATACATTCTTCTTGGCTTTTGTAGACGATTTCTTATTAGCTATATGGGACTTGCCAATGGCAAACAAGTTGCATGTTCATTATGTTTATGGAAGTTTTGTACTTATTTGGAGAATCATATTTACACTTAAATAAGAGCCCTTAAGAAACGATAAGATTACTTGGTCACTCAATCACAAATTGCATCATGTTCGTCAAAGGCAACACATTCTTCTGCGATTTTATTCTTATGTGCAACTGAAAGGAAGCATAATGTCGGTTGGTGTTTAATTCCTTAAACTAACTTTTCGGCCTTAGCATTTTACTTGCTTTCTGGATGTTTGGTTTGTCTGAATTGCTTCCTGAGGGAGTGGAGTGGAATAACACAAGAATCTTGTCTTTGTGAGCTTAAGCTTAGGACTCTTTTGGATAACCAATTTGCAATCCATGTGAGCATAAGCTTAGGACTCTTTTGATAACTAAAAGTTGTCTGTTTGATATTCGCATTTCTTTTCGAAGAATTTTTATTATTATTTATGTTTTTTGATGCAAAACTTGAATATATTGTTACTTTAAGTTGACCATTCTTATGTTACATCAGAGAAGCAAAGTCGACAAGTTCAAATATGCACCAAGGTGCCACCCTCCAGCAATAAAAGGAGTTTTTTCGGAGGTACCCTTTACAAGTTGCAGCTTTCTTGTTAGATATGATCAAAAATTTGTAGCTTTATGCCATTTGATTTAATGCTGAAGTTTGACCAACAACACCTTTCATGGAAGTCTGACATGGTGGTTTGACTTGTGTAGGCCCTGGTAGTAGCATTGGCAATACAAAGAGTGGCTTGATGAAGAAGGCAAAACTAGAATTCCTTAACAGGTATTTGTGGACCACCATTCGAAAATTTGATCATTATCATTCAGTTTTCTGTAAAGTATTTTCTAGGAAAAAAACTAAAGGCTCTCAAAAAAATTATTCGCAATTTCGTATGGCTATACAAGATCTTTCCTGAAAAGCGTTAGCAATTATATACCAACTTTAAAGGAGACTATCAGATATATAATCAAATTTTTGAAACTTTAATTAGCAATCATACACCAACTTTAAACCTCCAATTCTAAACCACTAGCTTTTACATGTCAGAGTACCCCGTATATCCGTTGTTCTATGCCTTTTTTTCATCAGTTTTTGTTTTTGTTGCTTTTTAACAGCCGAGAGGTTAAAAACCTGTCAGCTATGAAGAAAACTACTGTGCAGTACAATCAAAGGTACCGTTGTACTTAATACCTTTGTCCACCATGATCTGTGAATCTTGCATCCAACCGTTGATGTTTTTATGGTGTTAGGGTGTCTCCTATAAAGAAACCAAATCATTTTCCGGGAAAGCCTTCTGCTTCAAGTTCCAAAATTAGTTCATCAACAGCAAGAAGATTCTGAAAGCCTATTCAAATTCTGCATCCATCAGGTCGTTTTTTTTTTGGTTAAAAATGTTGATTCATTTCTGTATGTACATCTAAATCTGCAAATGACTTGTTATATTAGATGTATGCTATATATTGTCAACCAAGTATGTGTTTTTACCATCTCCATCCCAAAAGAGTTCAGGTTTTGACTTCAGACAAACTGTTGGTCGCACTTCTTCTTGGGTTTGTGCTTTAACATAAAGAGCCTATTTTTGGTTGATTACAAAATTTCAGGTATCCGAGTTAGTGATAAAGCCCAACCTTCCTTGAGGTAAAGGATTCAAGTCTCACCAAAGGTAACAAATGTATGTGAGTTTGCAGTATATAAAATATCGTATACTTCAAAAAGCAATTTCAGAAGATTCACATCATAGTAGTCATTAATTTAGCATATTAACCACGAGGGTGGTGCCTGACTAGTTTGAGCTTGGCTCCAAAGGGCTAAACCCGAAGACTTTACAAACCTAAACCTGTTTAACATTTAGCAATTTTAATATAGAGGCTTAATAATTTGAGAACTTCAAAATATGTGAGATTCTTAAGATCCATATAAGCTATTAATTTAAGATAATTAATGCTATTAATTAAGGAGTTAATTATCATTATTTATTAAATACAAAATTGATGCATTGTTTTAGAAATTCTCATACTTGATCTTTTTCTTTCTCTCCTCTTCTGTCTCCTATCTTCGTATCTTCATATGGACCGTATTAACATATATACGTATACACAAGGTAAACATATTGTGAATATAATGTAAACAATCTTAATAACTTTTTTACTAGTGTGGGCACAAGGTTCGTGTTCACAAGTGGTACGTTTAAATCTAGTTTTATTGATTTAGTTTGTGTTCACAATATATTTACAAGTTATATCAGATCTCGTAGTGTGTTCACAATGTGTTTATAAATTATAATAGTATTTCTTAAAAAATATTGACAATTAGATTTTCTTTTCAACTATTTTTTTTATTTAAAATGGATCTCACGAATTTCACAAATTAACAAGTCCTTTGAAAGGAAATCAAAGGATTCGTTAGAATTAACTAGAGAAATTTGAAGAAAGTAACATAAAAAAATCGAATTTACTTGCTCTGCTTGTGGAGCTTGAACACAGTGAACTAAAGTAAGAGGATAGACAAAAGATCTATTTGAATGAAAATATGAGATTGTTGAGTATGTAATTTTTTTGGAGGCCCTGCTATATTGTACTAAAACTATAGACTCTTTGAAATAAGTAAAATGAAATAAAATACAATACTTCATATCATATTAAAAATCTTACAAATTAAAACAACAAAAATGTTTAAAATGACAAAGTGACAAGAATATCAAAGAGTCAATTTTTTTTTTGATCGAAAAATTCTTAAATTAAATAGTTGCTTTTAATTTTTGAAATAAATTAGGGATGGGTCGTTATTGTGGTTGTTCATAGATTGCGCTACATAAATCTGGACCCAAATACAAGTAAAACCGAGCCCCCAAAACAAAGATCCGGAAACAAGGTCCAAGTACGCAATTTTGTTTGAGGCTTTGGGGAGTTCAATCACCGAATCGAAACCAAAAGATGATTGAAGAGGGAACGCCAAATTAGAGAGGCTATGATGATACATATTACTTTTGTCTTTATGATATAAATTAGAGAGATAATGAGGTGTGCTATAGATAAGGCTTTATACACGTTGATGAAAGACTCTAATCATTGAGCCTCAAAATTTTGAAGGTCTTGTTCAAAATCCCACATTTAACATGTTAAAAGGCAGGCGACGTTGTTAATACTCCTCATAACCCATTCAATGTATGATATCTTGAAGATAGTGGGGGTGGGTGTGGAACACCAAAATGGACGGTTGAGATTGTGTTCCACACCCACCAAAATGGGGGTGGATGTGGAACACCAATTCAATCTCAACCGTTCATTTAGTTTGATTACTATGTGATTTCATAAAAGTTCTGATTGTTTCCTAATATAAAGTATTGATTCTAATTAATGAACCTTAGTCATTTTTCATAAATATTCAAATCATAATAAATGAACTTTCATCATTTCTATAAATATCTCAATTAATTGAGTTGCATTGGTTGTACAAATGTGAGGTGTTACATTTGAAACGTCCTCTCTCTCTCTCTCTCTCTCTCTCTCTCTCTCTATATATATATATATAGACGAAGAATTTTGTAAGAATATGAGTTTATGTAAGAAGCGTAAAAAGAGATCTAGACATTGATCACTTTTAATCTCACCTCCACCCGTGAATTGTGTTTATCACGGAAATTGATCCGGTGCATCTCGATACACTGCATCAATGCCACGTGGATTTACACGAGATTAATTTAATGTAACGATCACATACAATTTTACTGTTATCATGTTCTCTTACCAATCTCTCTTTCTTTCTGTACACACACATATATTTCTTGGTTAATCTTTGTTATTCATAATTTCATTTCACCATCAACTACAACAATTTATCTCCCATTGTTTTGCATCATTCATTGATTATGCATCGTTTCGATTATTGATCTCTCATTATTCTCATATTTTTATATCAATTTTGAGTGATATGAAAAACCTATTTTACTGATCTCAATGTACGTAAATACAAAGAAATTGCCATATACAATCCTCCAGTTGGCGGATCCAAGACTTTTACCGAGCGGATACCTTTAAACTGGATCAAAGGCCTCCGAAGTTGCTTTAGTGTTTCTAGCCGAAGTTCCAATTTGCGACTGATTTTTTATTTTTTTTGGTTGATTTTGAGACAACTGTTCAGTCTTTTGGTTAATTTCGAGGGACTTATTTTGTTTTTTTTTTTAATTTCATAAAATTTCTCAATTTTTAAGATTAAAATGGTATTTACTTATTCATCTAGGATTTTAGTATTAAATAATATGTTTTGCAAATTAAAATTAACTAACCAAATTAAAAGAACCTACATTGATTAAACACATTAATATCAATAAGGTTGAGAAAATTAAAAATAAGCTAAAAAAATAAAACCAATGTGACATATATAAGGCAAATCTAGACTTTTGGGTAGGGTGTACAGAAAATCAACCGAAACAATTGTAACCGACTGATCCAATTGAAACCGACCGACCATAATTGGATATCTAATTGTAATTGAATCGGATCGGGTTGAAAATTTCAACATCCAATTTGAATCGGTCGATTATCGGATGGCAGTCCAGAATCAACCAAAACTGAACTGAACTAAACCGATCAACATCCATTTACCTATCCAATTAATCATCTGATGACCATCCAGTTGTTCATCCAACCATTGTCCAACTATCATTTAATTAATTTATTTTCAAATTGTTTAAATCGGAATTTGTTTTTTACAAGGCTTTGAATTTTTAACTTTCCTTATGTTGGTTTTAACACATATTAAAAGTGATGATCAATTTGTATCATTGTCGGAGAATTGGATTGAATTAACACACTAGATAGATCCAATCCCTGTGGATCATCCACTGGATATTCGATGTATATCCAATAAAAGTATCCAATCGATAGAACCGAACCGATCTAATCATCCATTTAATTGGATTGGATTGGTTATCCAATATTAATCGGATCAGTTCGGTTGGCAAAATCCAACATCCAATGGATGATTGAATCGGTTCGGTTCCCCTCACATGATCTAATGGATGTCAACCGATGAACACTTTTGAGTTAAGTCAGGTCAATCTATGGTTATCATTTTTGGTCTCTATTTTAAACTAATTACAGTTTTGAACATTGTAGTTGTCATTTTTGTTTTACTTTTAATCCCTCTATCAACAAAAGCAACGGTTATCAGTCCCATGGTTCCATAGTCCATACCTTTTGTCATCAATTCCAAAGTCCAAAATGATTCCATAGTCGTGTTCGATTGTGCTTTCATTGATTCCTTCTATTGTTCATCTTCGATTGCTTCTACTTTTGAACACTAACACTTACCATCAGGCCCTAATCGTTGAAATTTTGGACTTTGGAATTGAACGACACTTTTCTTAATGGTTTCTGACTTTGTTGTTTAACCATTTAAGTCTAACTTGGTTATTGTTTTGATGTTTGTGCATTAAGTATTTATTTTTATAGATATATAATATAATATATATATTCATATTTATTTTATGAACGTAATTTTTTACCACTGGGATAACCACAATTTCAAATCAGAGTCCCGCCCACATTTCTACAATCAACCGCATTAATTGCTTAGTGTTCATCAAAGATTTATGTCATATTTACTCTATCCCATTGAAATCACAACATTTAACTCAAGAACTTGCTTAACATAACTGTTTAGATCACACTATCAGTTAATTATCTAAAATGCCCTTAATGGCCAAATGGGGGGATCATGAGGATCAAAAACACTACCATAAAGTTTTTGTAATGATGACATTGCAAATAGTAATATCTTGAAAATTTTGTCACAAAAGGAAAAATTGCAATTGTCATTGGATATCCACATATGGAAATCGTTCCAATTTCTTTGGGACAGATTGGCTACCACTTCTGAACTGGGTTTAAGAGCCTAAATGAAGAACATATAACATAGTTTTCTCTATCTACATTACCTTTTAATCTTATCAAGACTAATTTTGTGGACCTTTATGACATAGCAGAATCTGGTGTCCCTACAAAATATGTTCTTCTCGAGGATATGGAGGACATGGATGATGAGGAAAGTAGTCCCTGATTGCTTGTTGGTTCATCATTCTGTTACATGCTTCATTACAAGTAAGATTTCCATCCTGGATAAAAATTAATGAGCTATGGGGACTGAATAAAATAACTGATCCTATTTCATTTTATTATCCCAAGATTAGAAGGTAATTAAGAATTCCAAGCTTATTTAGGGTGAGAACACTAGCAAATTTTTTTGAAGTATCATTTGCTTCAAGATTTACTATAGCAGTGGGTCCTATTACTCGTGAACTTATGACAACCTGTACAGCCTCTCTACCCCTGGCGATAGAGGAATGATATCCTCTACCTGTGTTCTATCCCCAAACCCTACTCTTGTGGGATTTACTGGTTTCGTTTCGTTTGTTTTTGGATATCATGCCCATAGTTTGTGACCATAAATTTTGATAAATCTGCTCGCTGTTATTTACCAACTCTACTTGTCAAAAGGAGCTTTTGATGATTAGCGCAAAT